GATCTGGTGTCCTCTCACTATGCTTTCATATCTGCAGCGATCGTTAGGGTAACCTAATCAGACCTTTTTTTAATTAAAGAGGTCAGAGTGTTGGTGCCGAAGGAAGAGAGAGGAGGAGGTGAAGGGAGAAGATGGCAGCAGATGAGGGTGGATAAAGGGAAGAGGTCGAGTCTGTCTCCTGAAAGCCACTTAAATCCCTTTCTTATTAACTCTCTGTGACACATGATCTACCTCCATCCCCTCTCACACACACACACACACACACACACACACACACACACACACACACACACACACACACACACACACACTTAGGACGACGAACCAGCTCCTCTTACCACAATAAGCAGCCCCTGCATCTCTGCTGCGTGGTTTCATTGTGCTAAAGACGTCGTGTCACTGCCCATCATCAGCTGCAGTGCTGCATTTAGCCACATCCCACCACTCTCTGGATCGGTCTGTATTTCTGTGCCATGCTTTTATTAATGCGTCATTCAAAACAGGTTTTACATTGACATTTTCTTATGTAAATGGGACCTAACCTTGAGCTGAAGAGGTCATTGTAAGTAAATGTAATTGACCAGTCTGGAAAAGAGTAGTGAAGAAAAGTTCATCCTTTTCCACTTCATACAGTTGTTTCTTATGGAAAATAAGGATGTGGAGGCTTGGCATGAAACTGTGAGGTTTAAAGAAAAAGAAAAAAAAACAGGTTTATTAAAATTTGTTCCTTTTTTTTTCACAGTTTTGGTCATCATCAAGCCAACAGTTCATCCCGATTTATAAACTCATTTATTTGGAAGTAGGAAACAGAAAGTGATCATCTTGAAAATATTAGTAATGGTCCTTCATTGCAGAGATAAAGTGGCCAATTTTCTGCTTGTAGTTTCACATTTCTACCTTGAAACTCTTTTAAAAGAACGAATTCTTCCTCTTCTAAATTAAAATGTGTAATTCATAAGCAATAAAACACACTATTGCTCAATTCAATACACTCAAGGATTTTGCTTACTCAGCCTTTCACAGTCTGGTGAAGTGTAGTGGCAAAAGTTAGCCAATGTTAGCAACTTTGCTGACTTGCTGAGCCCTCTCTACTTGTACTCCACTCTAAGTGTTGAACTCCTATAAGCCTGACGTGGTTGGACTCACGATGGGCATTTCTTTTTTTAAAAATGCATCAAAATCAATGCAGCAGAACCAGAGACATCCTCTTTTTTTCATTCCACACATTCCTTCCTCAAAACCTGGCGCCCTGTTATGCTAGTAGCGGCTAACGTAGCCCCGAGCCTCTAGCCTCGAGTGAGAGATGAGGAATGAGCTCAGTTCTGTCTCAGATTTGACACAACTCTCTCTGGAGCTACAAAATTGTATTTTTAAAGACTTTTTAAAAAACTTTTTTCTTTTAACATATGTGCAAGTTCTCCCTGGTTCTGTAAACAGACTATGTTTTAGCATTTACCATTATACCTTAATTGCGACCTCAGTTTAGCAAAAGCTACGTAGGTTAGCCTCAAGGTGCATTCAGACTGAACACAAAGCAATTTTTAATGTGGGTTCGTTTGTGAGATATTGATAGCATTGTTATTGCAGTCTATACAAACAGTCAATACACAGACGGTGAAGTTTTTTTCCACCAGATCATCTTCACATCAAACTTGATTCCAACAGCTTCTTTGCTTGTATTGGACTATGCAACGCAAATTTCCCCTTTTGTTTGCATATAGGCCAATTATGTCGCCTCAAATATTCACCTTGGTGTGAACATGTCTGGAGGGATGTCTCTGCTGTTTCTAAAATTCAAACTGCTGTCCCATCCCATGCTAAATACAAACAGATCTGACAGTAAGGTGAAATGCTTTTGAGAGTACGTCTTCCATCTGTTCCTGTGGGTGTCAGGTGATTGACAGCAAGTAGAGGCTGATGTGACGAGGACACAGGTATGAAAACGCTTGACTCGTGAAAAAGAAATAAAGTAGAAACTGTGGCGGAACCACATTAAGGTGTCATGTTCAATGTGACGGATTATCTAGCTCAGGCAATTGTCAAGTCAGTGGAGGTTGTTTTTCATGCTGTACATGGCAGCAATTGGCTTCTTCTGACGGGAGGAAGACGTGAACATGAATATCTCTGACTGCTCAGGCTGTGACAAAACAGGAACAATGTAAAGGAGAAGGGAAACCTATTAAAAAATAAAATAAAAGAACATTTTATTTATTAAAGAGGAAGAAGGAACCTTTAAAAGTGCTTGCGAGTTGTTGCCAGACATCTTCCTCTGCTAAGATAAACCTGAATCTTGTCTGTACCTTCTATCAAAGCAATATGTTACATATAAAGGAAAACATTAGTAGCACACTAAGCCCGGCACAGACAGCCTTACTCTGTCATTTAAGGTTGCGCTATTTCACACTCTGAAACAAGTTTGAAATGTGATGGACAATTGGTTGTGTTGCCTTGTAGAGCAGTCTGCTTTTCCTATTTCTTGTGCCAATGTCCTATCAGTGGTGTTTTCAGTTTCCCTGGTAACAATTATAAATGAACAAATATATTAACTGTAAGAAAAACAACAATTGATTTATCCTTTTTTTAAGTGATTTAACAAACAAGAACGCCAAACTGCCTCTGGTTTCAGCTTCTTCAATGTGAGAATTGGTTGCTTCTTCTGTCATTGCAAATGTTATATTTGTAGCTTTTGTGCCATTGGTTTGACAAATCAGGCTATTTGACGATGTATTAAATTATGATGTGATTTCTTTTTACCTTTTCTTGTACTATTGGACACCAAACAATCAAAAGATTTGTCAGCAAATTAATTGATAATGAAGATAATCGTTAGTTGCTGCTGCCCTTGCCGAGTCGGTGCATCCCTCAGACTTGGATCTAGAGAACCAGACTGCTCACTCTCTTGTGGGAGAAAATCTAAAAAAGGGTCAGCTGTAGACCAGAGATTTGGGTTTGAACAAGTCCCAAAATGGCCGAGTACATTGCGGTTATGAATAAGTAATGACCTCCCTTCTCTCAACATCTGTCGAGGTGCCCTAAAGCAAGGCACTTAATGACTCTGGCTGTACCAGAAAGCTCCAAAATGTGCAACTGCATGAAAAAAAGAACAAAAAAAAAACACTCGACTGACTTTTCTTTAACAAAAAAAAAAAAAAAAGATGCATGAAAGTAAAATGATCAGATCCAACTGTGATCAGACAGTCTGGTCATCAACAAAAAAAAAGACAAACCTGCCTAAAACTATTCAAACGGTGCGTCTGCAACAATCAGGGCATCAATTAGTGTGAGAGCATTAGTGCCTGTTTTAGCATCAGAGCAGGCTCAGTGCTTTTGGTGCCGCTGCGTGTGTCTGCACATGTGTGTGTTCACGCACAATCCTAGTGAGCACAGCCACTGAAGCAGCACAGTCCCAGCTGTTCAGAAGAAAAAAGAAAAGACTGTCAGCAATCACGTTTCGTTTCTCTCTTCATTTTCTCCAACGCGACATGAGGTCAGCTGTCACTTCTTCACTGAATGCTTAATTATTATTTGGGAAACAGATCTTGATTTTACTTGATCCTGGGCCTCAGTTTTCTCCACCACAGTTTCTTAATTAGCACATGAAATGATCTCATCCTTATTTATGAGCTCTGCATCTTACATTGAAGGGTGACTCTTTGTTTTTCGCTGTGTTTTCTTTGTTAGTCTTTATGCATTGGCCAGATTTCCATTTTTGAACAGTAAGTTAAGAATTTAAGTGAACTGAACTGTTTTTGAAATTATTAATGAATTGACGGAAAGCTTTTGGCCAAATGTTTAGATAATTGATTAATCGTTTAAATTATTATTGAGCAAAAAATGCCAAACATTTGCTGTTTCCAGCCTCTTAAATGTGAGTATTTTCAGTTTTTCACTGTTTCATATCATTATGAATTGATTACTTTTGGGCTTTTGGGCAATTTAAAGACGTCAGCCTAACCACTGGGGAAACTGTGACTGCAATTTTTCATTATTTTTGGACATTTTGGAGACTAAATGATAAGTTGATTTATCTGAAAAAATGAAAATAATTAGTTGCAGCCTTAAAAAATAATTGATAGTTGTTGTTTTTTTAAAATGGGAAAGCGGATTACAGGGATATAAATCAAAACACTAGTATGTTGTCTGTGCAGCTAACCCTCAGTGACCACCATGACGTGGATAAAAGAATCCACCAAACGGTATATACGGTGCAAAATGCAGCTGCAGGAGTAATGGGAGTCGCTGTTCTTGTCTGCTGGCATGTGCGCGGTGACTGTGCCAGGACGGTGTAATCAAGGAGAGAGAGAGAGAGAGAGAGAAACGTTGGCCATTGTTATGCAAATGAGATGCTATCGGGAGAAGCTTGGACTCCTTCCCAGGTTCCATCGCTGTCGTAGCATTTCAGCGGTGTGGGTCAAGTGACATGGGGAGTTTCTGCCACGAGGCGCTCTCAGTGTGAAGTGCTGTTTGGTTTTTCACATATGCATGTCCCTCATTACTGACGGCACCTGACGTACAGGGCCATCTGTCCAGGAGATGAGAGATTATAAAAGGGTGTTACAGTGAATGTGACTCTTACAGCGGTGGAAGTAATGAAGGTATCATTCACTGTATTATTTAAGAGTGACAAAAGCCAAGCCACACTACCCTCTACTGCTAATGGATCCCAGCAATTATTTTCTGAATAAATCTCTCTGTCTGTGTCCGTCTCTTCCTCTTGCTCGCTTTCTCTCTTCCCCTTTCTTCCTGTCCTTTCGATCCTCATTTCTGCTTCCTTTCATCTTTTCTCCCTCTGAACCTCCCTCTCGTTTTCTCCTCTTGTTCTCTGATTCGCCGATGTCCATTTTCGCCGGCGCTCCCCCTCCACCTCATCCTCATTTTTGCTTTCTCATTACACCTCCACCTGCCCTCGTTGTCGTGCCTCAGCTGCTCTTACCTTTTGCTCGTGTTCTCTCCTCACCTCACTTTCTCTTCTTCTTCTTCTTCTCCTCTGCCTCCCACAGTCCCAGTGAAGCTGAGAGAGATGTCGCAGAAGAAGATATTCCTGGTTTTCGTTGCCATCAGTACTGTCAGTCTTCTGCTGCACCATGGGGGCCACTTCAGCTGGTGAGTGATTGAAACACACCCACACATATGCAAACACACACTTACTTACATTTTATGTTCTCTATCTCGGTGAGCCCATATGGTGCTAATTACAATGAAAAATCTGACAATGGCAGCTCCTTTTCTCTATTTAAGTCAAATTAATAGAGGGACTGGCTCGTTGTAATACTCAGATCTGGAGACTTTTCGTGCCAATGACCTGCCAAGTTGGTCAAGGGACCAATTATAAAAGTAAAGAGAGGCAGATCTTTGACAGCCGTGTTCTCTTCTCACACCCATAACGTTTTACTCACGAAACTTCTTCCCAATTCCTGTCTTTGCCGTCTTACTTTGTTGAACGTTTTCGCTCTTCCACACCTTTTCAAAATCTGACTCTAGTTCAGTCTGCAGTGAACACTACATGCTGTAATACTGCAGAGTATTCATTATGTATGCAACCAGTACTACATATGATTGGACTTTTCTTTGATTTTATATTTAGCCCTTTTTCTGTGGTAAAGTTGTGTCATGAATATTCATTACAGCTTGGCTACAATGATTGTGATACTTTACCTCTTTACACATTTAACACAACAACTGGTTTGTTTTTAATTACAATAAACTGGGAATAATTAATTTAGATATCGATAACGATTACACAGTATATCATGACACCATGATTCAACAGATATTGACACATTGAAACACTTACAAACTCTTCAGACACACCTTATATTATCTTGCACTCTCAGTTTCTGATACTCCGGCCTCGAGTGGCTTTATCCTACTTTATTGTCTCTCCATCTCCTCTCATTTCAATTCCCCAAATGTTCCCTCATTTTTACTTTCCTGTTGCACACCTCAGTCTCTTCCATTATCTGTCCAGTGTCTGTGCACTTACGTCTCTAATGTCGTGATTTTAGTTGGAGTGGCTGCTCCTTTTACTGGAGCTAATGGAGCTTCAAATAAGTGATTACATTTTCTTCTCCTTTCTCCAGGACCATGGAGGCTTTCCACCTCGGTTGTCCCGCCCTCCGTTCCCACCCTGCCGCAGGCTTGAAACCTAAACACACCAATGTGGCCTTCCTCAAGACCCACAAAACGGCCAGCACCACCATGCAGAACCTGCTCTTCCGCTTTGCGGAGCACAACAACCTGACGGTGGCGTTGCCTGTGCAGGCCTGCAGCCACCAGTTCTGCTATCCACGCTCCTTCACCTCTCACTTTGTCCATTCGCACACGCTGCCGCCAAACATCATCACCAGCCACATGCGCTTCAACAAGGCGGAGCTGCAGCGCCTGATGCCAAACGACACAATATATGTCACAATATTGAGAGAGCCGGGCTCCATGTTTGAATCCTTGTTCAGTTACTACAACCAGTATTGTCAGAGCTTCAAGAGGGTCCCCAACGGCTCCCTGGAGGCTTTCCTAGAGGAGCCCTGGCGCTACTACCGGCCAGATGAAAAGGACTCCATGTATGCACGCAACACCCTGACTTTCGACTTGGGTGGAGACAAGGACCGCCCAGCAACAGATGTGGTGTATGCGCGGGCCTTTGTTGCAGAGGTAGAGCGAGTTTTCTCCCTGGTGATGATTGCTGAGTACTTTGATGAGTCTCTGGTTCTCCTTCGCCATCTCCTCTCCTGGGATCTGGATGACATTCTGTACTTTAAGCTCAACATGCGGACCCCGAGCTCAAAGCGGAGCCTGACACCGGGCCTCCCTGCAAAGATCCGTGCCTGGAATTCCTTGGATGCACGTCTCTACGACCACTTCAACGCCTCACTGTGGCGCCAGCTGTCAGCCCTGGGTCCGGCCTGTGTGGCAAGGGAGGTGCGACTCCTTCGCCGAGCCCAGGAGAGGCTCATGAGGAGCTGCTTCGGTGGGCGGATGCCACTTCTCCGCTCAGCAGCACAGATCAAAAACAAGGATCTCCGCCCCTGGCAGCCTAGTGGAAAAGTTGATATTGTGGGCTACGATCTACCAGTAAATCTCAGCCGTGGGTTCTCGAGCCAGGCCCAGGAACTCTGCCTCAAGCTCATCATGCCAGAGGTCCAGTACACACGGGTTCTCCTACGTTCCCAATCACTGCGCTACCGACGAAGCTACCAGCTCCGGTCTCCGCAGCAGTCACATCCCCTCCAGCAGCCCATACGTACAGTCCTGCCCCGGCACCGCAGTCAACAACCTCCTGCAGCCCCCGGCCCTGCGTCAGGAACAGGGTCCACCTCCACTTCAAAGCCTGCTGCAGGAACTCAAGGTTGGACCACAAAGATAAGGTCTAAATCCTCACAGACCCAGGCCTCATAGATAGGCCTGGACAGAAAACAGAGACTTGAATGTAATGTGAGTGCCCAAAAGACTGCATCGTTCTGCCCATCCTGATCCACAAGACAATGACTGGCTGGTTGGGGGGGGGGGTTGAAAACAAGGGTGTCCTTGGAAAAAGTCTGGGTTGTTCTTGAATCAATGTCTGTCTTGTGCCCTCCAGAGTCTGGGATAAAAATAAATGAGGAAAAAGGAGGGAAAGGAGGTAAGACATATCTGGACTTGAACTTGAATCTCTCCCCTCTCTGGTCTGCGAAACAGTATCGGGGTTGGCAGACACAAGGGTCGGGGAAATCTACACTGGGACTCGGCTCAGTTGTGCACCTCTTCACGCCTGACCGAGGCGGATGGGAGAGGGTTTTAGGTGAAAGTAGTTCTTTGAAGCAAATCTGTTATGTGCAACCAGGACTCAATAGGGAAGTGGCGATATCAGGCCTATTGTGAGGCACAGAGTGGGCTTTGTGTGTATCACACTGGTATTGTATCATGTTACTTGCTTTCATTCTCTGTTTCTCGAACTTTCGTTTGCTCTCTCTTACTAACATATGCCACTTTAAGTCCTTGAGAGAGACGTAATGACGTAAAGGGATCAGCTGTCAGGTCTCCAAAGAGCCTCCTAAGAGGCCAGACAGACATTGAGATCACCTCCAACCATTATTACAACAGCACAATAAACAACTCTTCTCTTCTTCTTCTTCTTCTTCTCTTACGAACTGTAGACCCTAAAGCAATGGAGGGAAGGGGGGGGTTAAAAGACACACAGAGAAAGAGAGAGACCTTAACCAGAGGGTAAGTCTAGAAACTGCTGGATACTTAATTCGGCCATCCATTATGACCAAGACTCACAAAGAGAAAGAACTCATATATAAAGCCTGTGTCTCTTCAGCCTTCAGCCGACATCTCTGGCTTCCCTGCTTCATTCTCTCCATCCTCCATCCTCTCATCCCCGCTGCTACCCTCTGGTCAGGCCCTCAGTCCAGAGAGGAGCCATTATATCTTGCTTACTTCACCCCCCCTGGTTCGCCCCTGATTGCATTGTCCCTCGGACCACCAGCTGAGATCGCATCTTGCATTGCAGAAACCTTACGTTGAAGGCAAGGTTTCTGGATGTGGGGTTTTTACTTTTAATCTTGGGTGTTATTGCACTAAGATCTCCAGGCCTGCACTCTATATGAAAGCCGTGGATTTAATAACCTACCAGCAACCCCAACATGCCGGCACAAGTAAAAAACCGTAAAAAAAAACTTGACAGGACAAAGACTTGAAGCCTGTGGGTCGCGGCGTTTGAATATTTAATCATCTCGTCTCACAGCCCTCCTATGGCCCATGTGCTTGGGTTACACGGCCGTACGTTTTCATTAAGGACATGATGGACCAGCTCATTTTGAACCCAGAAGCGCAGGAGGACAAAGCGAGAGTGATCATGTAGAATGCTTAAGGCCTCTTAAGGCTCGTGGTCCAGCTGGGTTGGCTGCGATCTTAAAATGTCATCGCTTATCTCAGCTGTGATCCATCTTTAATGCATCCTGCTCATATTTAACGTGTCATTTATGTTCTGTTATTCCTCCAGTGATCAGCAGGGTACTGCAAAGTGACTGGGGGGGGCGGAGGAAGGATGTCTGGGTATGTTTGTGTGAGTGTGCGAGAGTGTGAGTGAGCCAAGAAGCGGCTCTCTCTGATTCGTGGTTTTTTTTTTTTTTTTTTTTTTCATGGCCAGCCAAGTTGGCCTGGCAACAAAAGGAAATCATGCGTGTGAGATTTATTAAAACTATGTATTATTTATTATCGGGACTTAAAGAGTCCCATTACTGTATTTTTAACTGTTTTTTTTTTCATGAATCACTGGATAAAAATTGTGCTTTGCAATCTAGTAAGTGGACCATCCTATGTTCAGCACACCACTTCAGGCAACAGCGGTGGAAGTTTTACATAATGCAAAACTACAAAGACCACTTCTGAAAACCGCACATAGAAACACGTTTAGTCGCTTTAAAATTAATCTTTAATTCTGCAGTGCTTAAGTGCTCAACCACACGATGCTTTTGTGGTTGGAGCCTGACGCTCTGTAGCTTACAATAATGAAAAACACACAAACCGCTGCTGCTCCTTCTGGAATAAAAAGTGGAACGGGTGGAAAACAGACCTGAGCAGAGGATACAGTGTTTTATGAAGTGGCTGTGAATATCTGAATTCAAAGTGTGCTTATCTGAACTTACCGGAGGAACCTCAGCTTTGAAAGCATGAGATGCACAGTAGTTTTTATTTATTTACAGACATTTGTGTTCAGATATATGTAATATTTCTTCCAAGGCACATACACTGTAAAAACTACACACTTTGGCTCGGCCCACTTTAAAGGGTAAGGCAGCCATTTTTGTGTGTTTTTCTTTTCTGTCAAAAAAATCCCATGAAAAGACCAAAACCAACAATGCGGAAGTCTGTCTGCCAACCTCCCCACTCTGTCAGCTGTACTGCCACAAGCGCACTGGTTCCTACTGATAATATTTTTAAAAACAGGTATCAAATATGTCGTTTCATGTTCTAATAAAAACTCTGTAATTTCATAAAACAGCTGGGTACTATATTTTTTAGCAAATGTTGCTCAAACATAAGTAAGTAGTGCCTATTTCCCGCTGTGGATGAATACACATTCATTGTTCTAGTGAGTATTTATGCCAGCAGGATGGTGTATGTGGGATCGACTCAAAATAAACTACAATGCCCATGTTCATTGTAATGAAAGAGCATGTCACTCAGTGCAACAGTGTGGCTCATTTGTGTCTTTTTAATTGTTTTTGGGAAACAATGAAGCTCTGTGGCACAGAGGAATAAACCACACCAGGCTTTGACTACACAGACAATACTTGTTGCATTAATATGATCAGTTCATTGTTGACGTTGGTCTTTTAATGGGATTTAATGGGACAGAAAGAAAAATAAAGAATATTGTTAAACCTATCCTTTAAATGAATTTACCACTAATGCTGATGCTCAGCTGTATTTAAATTCATTTGAATTCAGGTGCAACATGTGAAAATCATTTCAGCGCTGAATTCAACCACATTAATCTGCTGTAAAATAACAAGAAAACACTGTATTTGTGTTGTTTGTCATTCATAATCATCTATGGCGACCCAAAGTGTTCAATATTGAATAAATAAGATATTATGAAGTGAATGGCCATGAGAATATACAAACAACATATATAGTCATGAAATTATGACTAATCCAATGTATTTTTTGAAGTCAGCTTTTTACAGTGCAATTTTTTTTTCATATTACTTCTTTTCACAATAACAGGGTTTATTGCAGGTCATGATTGTTTCATTCCAATAGTTTTTATATCGCAACACCATTTTTCCTCAGTGACTTTCATTTTGTAATGCCACCACAGTTATGTGATTGGCTGTTGCCTGGGTCGGAGTCACACTTTGTTAAAGGGACATTTTGGAATAAAAACTGTCGGAATGAAATAAAAATGACCAGAAATCAACTCTGTTCAGTTTTAAAGGACCTATTTGTTGCTGTTGCTATTGCTACATCGCCACCATTAACATTAGTAGCTGTTTATTTACCAGCGTTGCCAAGAGCTTCAGCCATTGTTGCGTTTTACAAGACAAGAGGTTATAATACACCCTCTGAGTTGTGCTACTTCTTCAGGGCAGATTGGAGGCTACAGTGACTCGGTATCGGAAACAACAAGACAGTTCGACCAGGGCGGGGCTAGCTGGTTAGCATGTTAACTGCAGTAGAAGAAAAGAAGTGATAGAAATAAAACAAGTTATTATTGGTGAGTAAAGGAATAATGTTTGATGTTGAACTTGAAAAGTTTCTTTTAGACTCGTAAATAAACAATCGTTAATGCTAACGTTAGCTATGTAGCAATAGCAAAAATTTACACATAGCACCTTTTAAAGATTTATTGCTATCATGTGTTTTTTCTTTATTTTTTTCATGATTATTTTATGATGTCTAATTTATTTTATTTTGAACACGTTGGGTCTCCATAAGCACAGGCACAGAACCTGATATGATTAATAACCTTTAACCTGATGTTTATTGAACATAGCTGAGATATTATAAGGTACTGTAAGTACTCATACGGTATAGTGAGTATACAGTAATAAACTGATGCTCAAACGCATTCCTGTAGTAGATCAAAATAGGTACAGTGTTTGCAAATGCTTTTCCTCCTATGTCTGTGTCCTGCTGGGAGGCAGCTGAACAATATGTCTTTATTTCCCCTCAACTTTCATTTATGATCCATTTCTTGCTGGCTGTGAGTCTTTTTAAAGTGCTCTTTTGATTGTACGAGTTGTTCGCCTGGCTGTTCTGCTTCTTGTGAGAGAGTTTCAGTAATGGTCATGCTGTCATGTCTAAGAGTCTGCTATTCCTCTTTGAAAATGCCAGAGAGGCTGTAAAAACAGTACTCTAAAATCTCATCCTGTTCACATTAGTTGCCCCTTCTTCACTTTTTAGAGTGACGCTGTAAAGCTGTTGTTTTATATTTTCGTTTTATTAGAAAATGAAACTGGGCTTCTTACTTGTTGTGTCAGAGCAATTTTTTTTTTGGGGGGGGGGGGTCTCTGCTGAGCATTATGTTTTAGGGAAGTAAAAAAGAAACAGTTCCTTGTGACTGGGGGAAAATGGCATACTTGATAATACTTTGACTGCGTTTTCTTTGATCTGCTCGTGTATTTCCTCTGTTTATGAGTTTATCTGTGAACTGAGAAGAACGAGACTCTCTGTGATTCAGTGGAAGAGTTTGGGTGTGTGACGGGGCTCAGAACAAATGGCTAGCGACAATCAGAGCTAGGGGCCGCAAAGCTTTGTAATGATGGGTGGTGAACGTGACAAATAAAGTTTGAATGATTTCAATTCATCCGGGACTGAATGTGTGTTTGTTACCGCTGTTCCTCTTTACAGTGCAGATTTATTCAAATATGCACTGACTTGAATTATTCTGAATATTAGAGAAATGCACACACACTCTTCATCACCAGCGATATATAACACGCAGTGACAGTTGCTCAATTAAGATTCTGATTCTAAATGGTTTCTATTTCCCTGAAGACCCAAACCAGACATTTCAGCCTGCAATCAGTTGTTTGAAATTGCCTCCATCCAGCACGTCTGCCTAAATGAATGAACAAATTGCTTCTCGCAGGGGCAAAAACAAAATGCAAAGCAGTGGGTTTGATATGACTGTGATTGAAGCAATCACGACGCTGTGCTGTGAGGTGGCCCTCCGGACCGACTGCCTCAGCACCTCTCTGTGTTTCTTCTCACACCTCTGCTGCCTTCCTCCTCTTGCTCTTATCTTCCATTATAATCGTGGTTAATCATAAGCATCATCATCATAATTACAGTAATGTAATAGTGACATAACAACCTTTTTCATTGTGCTTCCTCCTGCGAGTCAGGTGCTGCACGGAGACACTTAACAGCCCTGCACGGCAGAGTGGCAATTACTGAACAACACTGTAGAGACATTTAAAAATAAATAAGATAAACGGTGAGATCTCAATATTACCCCCAATGTCCACTGTGCATAATGTTCTTCTCTCCACTCTGATATCTTTATTCACCAGCTGACATCAGTGATGGTTGAAATCCACTTTAGTCCGTATTTAATGCCTTTATTTATTAATAATATTTAATAGCCCATTTCATTAGTTATTGACTTTTAATGCATGTGAGTGGACGCATATTTGGCTTATCATTGTGAGCGTGTAGACGTACTGATATTAGTATCTATCTCTCCTAAGTACAGCGTCACAGAGCCACCAGCATGGCCGTGGACTCTTGTTTACAGACATACTACTGATTGTTTTCTTGGCGTTAATGTCACTGCTCTGAAATCTGTGAAGCAGGAGGTAATGCTAATCCTTCCCTTCTGCTAATATTCACTGCTGGAGAAATAGCCTACAGATAGAAAATAAAGATAAGACGACATGCTGCATACAGTAATTAGTCACCACACTGATCATGAACGAGCTGCATGCAGATTTTCAAAATTGGTGCGGAACACAAAAATGTGTCAGCAAAACATTTCCAAACCATTTGGAAGTGAATATGTTTGTGAGCTGCTAACGTGCAAATACCTTTTATGTTACAAGCAAATCTTGTATGAAGCTGTTTTGATATGCCTGACTTGGTGCCACATGATATAAAGGTGTCTGTATCTAAGGTAAGTAAATGGTAATTTGGTAAATGCACACTTTTATTTGTTGCACACCCCAGCGTGACAAACTGTACACAGGTGTAGCACAACTGCGATGGTCAATCACACCTAAACGATTATTATTTGTTTGATTTGGAATCTGCTCATTTGCTTTTAACCTCATGTTGTTTTATATGCAGTGCACATGTTTTAACACCACGGGGTTACACAGGCGATTTTCTGTTATGTTAATCATTTGTCTCTTTGTCTTTGAGTTGCCGTGGTTACCCTCCTGGAGGAGCAAAAGGCGTGGCTGACGGCTGAGGACACCGTGGGCTGACGTGTCATTTCATTTTCACAATGAAATGGCTTGTTGGTAAATGGGTGGGTAAATTACATTTGTTATTAGCAACACTGGTAATCACTTATTTTCACAATCACAAGTTGCTGTCTATCCTGCATTACAGGAACCAGCTAACAGGAGAGAGAGAGAGAGAGAGAGAGACAATAACAGAGCTGGGAACAAAATGTCCAATCACTCGGGAGATCTGGCTACCACTCACAAGATCATATTCAACTCCCTAATAACACACAGGCTAACAAGCAGCCCTGCAGCGTGCACCCAAATGCATTACATCTCTTGTTAATGTATAAATAGGCTTTTACACTTGCACACAAGAGCCTCTCAGACTCAAACAAACAGAGTCCCTCGCGACACAAAAAACCAAAATGAGACCTCAAACACCAACAATGCAACAAACACACACGGGAACTCCCGCTGAGGGAAATTCAAGCCGAAACACTCCACCATGATGGGTTTCATTATTTCCATAACCATGTATTTATGTGTCGTGCACATGCTGCTCTCTGCAGCAATTCATTGGATTATTCATTTGAAAGTGCACAAGTGGAACTGTGGGTAAATTGCAGGCAGTGAATTGTCATAGCTTAACTCAAGTGCTTTGCCTTGATTGCACTATGATTGGGCCTAAAATGTCAGGCACCTATTCATCATGGAGGAGAAAGTGCATTTCCTGCCTTTATGTGTTCCAGCTCGTTGGCTCACGTTGCTGTAATCACAGAGAAAATCATGGCCCCGGGGTTAATTATGTTTATACTTAAACACCGACTCTAATAATAGCCGCAGAGTGATTTCAGCCACCCTATGAATAAGTAAAATCCTCACTTTACTGTCATCTGACAGAGTTAAAGCAAAATGTGGGAAAACATTTTCACAATGAAATGGCTTGTTGGTGTTTTGTTGCCTCTAGACATCACCCGATCATATTTCTGTCTTGACGTCAAACCAGAGAGACAAATCTGCTTGTTCAAATACTCACTGGTGATGATCAACACATCAAACAAACAGAGGACTTGAGTCTGATTTAAATCACATGAATTAGGACTTGACCGTCTAAAGAATGGATGAGACTCCAGAGGAAAAAACACAGAGGTCTTATTCAGAGACCTGAAAGACTTGTACCTGCCCTTCATTAACTTGACTTGGGACTTGCTCCGATACACTTGAGACTTGAGACAGACTTCTTTCTAAAGACCTGAGCCTCATAGATTTGAGTCGACTTGGACTTGACCACACTGACCCATTGACCTTCTGAAGATTTGACCATGTTTTGACCTGGAGAACAAAACCATTCAAGCCTCATTCAGAGACCTGTAAGACTTATATCTTGACTTTCCTTATGAAGACTAGAGACCTGACTTGGACCAGCTCTCAGTGACTTCAGCCTTGCTCAGATGGAGCTGAGACGTACATTAATGGTCTCAAGTCTCTAAAGACTTGATTTGACATGAGACTGGATGGTAGAAACAGTGAACATTTGGACTCAGACTTGCACTAAAACACTGGAACAAAAATGTGGAAGCCAAGATTAAAACTGAAGCCATAAATCCATCATTCCAAGAAAAATAATTTCTGGATATTAATTCTCCGGGATAAAAAGAATCAATTCTCTTAAACTGTAATCAAACCAAACTTGCCACTGATCCTTTTATAAGTATTGCACTCTAGTTACCTGTTTCCTAATATCTCAGTGTCTACTTCAGTTACCAGCCCCCCCACCCCTCCTTCCATGCACTGCCTTAACAGTTCAGCTTTAACACCAGCAGGAGGATGCACGCAGCTCTTTTGTCAGGCTGTGTTGGCGGCGGATGTTGCAGGCTAAATGTAGTCCAGCTTTGTGAGTCACAGAGAGCAAGGAGGCACCGCGGCCCCGAGGTTTCAATGTATTTTTTGCCTTTTGTGAGTCAGAGCGTGTTGGAACAATGCAGGAGCGCAGGAGGCTGGCTGGGTGGGCTGTTAGAGCAGCTTATCCCTGATAATGTGCGCTCATCCCGTCTCTGAATAGCCGCTCCGCTCGGCTCAGAGGTGCCACTGGCATCAAATCTACCATTTATTCTTGCTTTCGATCTCTCCTCGGCAGAGAGAGAATTTCTAGTTTTACATGTGTTTGTCTGAGGCAGAAATGAAGAAAGAAATCTTCACTGTTAAAACCAAAGAACCACAGAAAAAAAAAACTTCATTAGCTAATAAAATTTTATTATTTAGGTGAACTGACTGTCCAGGTTCAACCGAGTCACATTAGCGTGAGCTTTTTTGTCAGTTAGTGACCTGCTGCCGGAGTGAACATGAAGGTTTAGATCATTGGTTCTCAAAGTGGGGTCGGGGGACCCCCAGGGGTCCTTGAGGGGGTTCCTGATGGTCCAAAGCAAAAAGAGAAATCATTTATTTTATATATAACTAATTGACAGAATGTGTGACAATTTTGGTAATGGGTTTCAAACTTTCCGTAATCTAAAATCTAAAATCTAAAATCTACCAGATGGAGGGTCCTGGGATAAAATCTAATCAAACGGGGGTCCGGTCTGTGGTCTACTTTCTGTCAGTTTAGGGATCCTTGATGTGAAAAGGTTTGAGAACCACCTGTTTAGATCATTGCACCTGTTCCCTTAGAACAATTTCTTTGTACGTCAGACTTTAAGTATGTGAGATAAATGTGTTTCTAAATCATCAAAGTGTTACGTGAAGAAACAACTGAGCAATCAGATGAAATGGTGCTTGGAGGTGAATTGTGGGCGGGTGTGTTGACATTTTCTACACAGAGTAAGAAATGTATTCTACAGTTTTATTAATAAAACATAAAACACAAACAAATGAGCTCAGTTGTAGTTTTAGTTGCTTCCACCAAAGTCTTTGTGAGTAAAACAAGCAGAGCTGGGAGGCAGGAGAGGTGAAGCAAAAGCTTTATTTGTTAAAGCGGTCAGCAACAGGGTTACAGGCTAAACAGGGCTACAATCATAATGCTTGGATGGGACAATAGACAATCTGGCAGGGAACAATGACTAAAGAGCTTGTGTATGCTGTTTATACCGGGAGGGAGCTGATGAGGGAATTGGGAGGAGGTGTGTGTGAAGCAGTGGGTGTGAAGCGGAGAGGTCTGGTGGAAGGCGGGAACACACCGAGGACGACTGCAGACTTTAAAATGAGATGAATGACTTGGCTAATTGTCAACAGAACAAAATAATGACTCCACCAAACCAAAGTAGTTTACCACCTCACCTCAACATTATTAACCTGTAGGAATTTTGTTCGGAGCAGGTGATGCGGCACTTTGTGATTTGCATCCAGCGCCAATGGTAGAGAACTCTGCAGGAGCAAAGTAAGGGTGTGGGGGTCGATGGACGGGTGAATTTCATGCAGGAAAACCAGAGTTTGCTTGTGGTTAACATTGCTCCTTTTGTTAACCACAATTAATTAAACCACAATTATTAATTAACTAACAATCTTTCCCAATCCTTAACCAAATCATGCTTATCATGCACAGATATTATAGATAAATGGAGGCACTGGATAGTAAAAAGAATTGTCCAATATGGTTACAATCATAATAGTAAAATTTGTAACAGACTTGTAAATTTATAAACAGACAGATAAACATAGTTTGGGTCCACAAAACTGAATCTGTTTCTGCTGCTATTGGAAAAATTTGATGAAACCATGTTGGGTTATTTAGTCTACAAAGCCTCACATAAGTGTTTGCAAGGGCTATTCTTTTTTTATCAGTTTTTCCGGAAAAAACTTGATGAAACCAGCTTGAAATATTGGTTCTCTTAAGTTTAGCAGTTTTCTTTTTGACTAGTTTTGTTGTTTGTGAGCGATGCAGTGTTTCTTGTGTGTGCACCTCAGAGGGCCAAACACCTCTCCTGTCAATTTTGTGTTTTTTTTTCAACACCATGAAAACAATTTCCTCGTCTGTCTCTGGACATAATGTAGGCTCTCACACAGAGAGATGTTCGCACAGAGGGGCTGAACAGATGAAGGGAAGAAATGATGAAATGATGATGTGATCTGGCGATGAGAGGGAAGCCTGACCCTCCATGTTGAGCGGACTTCAGTCAGCTCTGATCACGCACAGCGGACAGCCAGGACTGTGATCATGTTTTAGCCGCAGGGGCAGACGGATGGACAGATGGATGGACAGCCATCAGCCGATGTTGTTGTTTTAGTTCATATAAACCAGTGAAAGGATGGAGGTTAGGTCTTATTTCTGACTTAATTAGCCCCCATCCCTCCCTCTCTCTCTCTCTAATGCGTGTGTGTGTGTGTGTTTGGGATGTGTAGGCATGCCTGAGGGAGAAAGAGAGGAGCTAGATGAGCTCTGCATAAACATGAAATAAACAAGTACTCCTGCACGAGCACACGCTCGCAAAGGCATCGCATGAAAACAGAGCTTCTCGAAAACGTTTGCCTGAACTCAAAAAAGTGACATGCACAGACAGTCAGATTCTCAAAAGCCTTAATTAAACAACATCACAGGGGAGTCTACCTTCAAAGCTGTCTGTGTATGCAAATGCAGAGGCCAGCAGTGAGAAAAGGCTGGAAAGAATATTGGCCGGAGAAAACCTGAGGGAGACAGCAGGAAGACAGTCTGGGGGGGGTAGAGCGTGGAGGACATTGGACGTAAATCAAGAATTGCCCAATATGGACATAATTCCAAGGGATTAGGATTGCAAAAAGCATTTGCTACTACAGCTGCACCGGCATCTGTCCATCTATTTTCCGGTTCCAGACTCAGCAATATAACCCAGAAGTTCTGAGGACAAATAGGAAGTATAATCCCTCCCTGTTCTTGGTGTCCTTCCAGTTGCACATATCTAGAAAACCTCCACAGTGAGGCCTAAGGCGACTGATCCACCGGTTCTTTTCAAACTTTTCACCTAAGCTTGTGTTCACCCTGCAAACTCATTTTGACTTTTTGCTGATACATGCAAGACAACAAACAAAACCAAACAATGATGACCAAACCCAGATAACCAACCACA